TATTCTCACACATCACTTAAATGACTTCCAGTTCAACATACACCATACAATTCATAAAACAATGAAAAAATCTGTATTGATAAACAATTACAGAGAAAGTCACTCACTTTTCCATAGAATCTCTTTTAGAATACAGTTTTCACCTAAAAAAATTAATATAATTAATTAAAGTAAATTACTTTTGATATTGTGAAAAAACTTTTGTGGTCCTTTTTTTCAAAAAAAGTTGTAAGAAAATTAAAAATTGTATATATTATTATAAATTTAATGCAAGAAAATCCTTATCTGCCAATTCTATGAAGTTGCTCTTGCATCAATCCGCAAAATACCTTATTGCTCTTAAATTATGAATGACAATAGTTCGTTAGAATGTATAGCAACTTATCCATCACTGCCATCAATATACATAATTTTAACTGCATTAAATTAATGTCAAAATTTTTTATATAATCTTGTATCTCCATTCATACAAAAATTTTACACTATTTAAAATCCATCACTAATTCTATAAGTATATAAATGTATGTAAATGAATTTTTACATATAACGTAAGTACTTCTACATAAAACTTCAAAAAACAAAAATTCAACCGTTTAACTTGATTATAACAGTGAATTTTTTTTTAAAATGATGATATTGCAACTTCTCTTGGAAAATATAAATGATCCTGTAAAATATATTTAATTTTCCTTAATACATATTAGTAATATACAAATGTTCATATATTATTACACATCAAAACTTACATATATACATAAATTATATACGCATATATGTTCCATATAAAATCATTATGTCAGTGTTTACTTCATTTTCGTCAAGGTGAGATGACGGGAATGTTTTGCATTTCTTAGTTTTTCTTCTCTTGTTCTATTCGCATTAACATAAATATGTATGTTTGTATGTATATGTATAGGCAGCATGATATTTCACTTAATCATTTTTAGACTGTTATACTTGCTAAAGGAAAATCTTCTTTCCAGCTCCTCTACTTACCAAAATATTAATGTAAAAGAACAACTTAACAAAGTACCTACATAAAGAACAAAAAAAAGAAAGAAAAGGAAAATAGATTTTTGCTGAATAAAGAAAATGAAATTCAATAAAAAGTACGAGAGAATAGAGGAGAGGAGAGGAGAAGTTATATTAAGAGGAACCAAATAAGAAGAGCTAAGAAAAAATTTAAGGAATACAATTTTCAAAAATATAAAAACAAAAAATTTATTTTTTTTCTTAAGAAATATTTTTCCTAGATGAGAAAGTTGAAATAAAAAAGATGCTACATCAACATGGAAATTATGACAGTAATGAAAATAAAAAAATATGTAAGTAAATATGTACATAGATATATATACATACATACATTCATATATCTCTTTTTTTAATAAAATAATAGAAAATAAATTGAAAATCAATATTTTTTGGTAGAAACTAAAATAAATGAATATATAAAAATATGATGGAAGAAAGACAGAAGAGTGAAATATTATATAGGAAAGAGAGAAATAAATAATATAAACAAACTATTTGTATATTCTTACCACTCACACAATAACAGTATTTCATTCAGTTGGAAATATTTTATGCTACACCTACATACTGCTACACATTTTCGAAAAATTTGATTGTTTAAGCTTATTCAAATATGCCTGCCTCTTTGACCGCCTATAGAGAGCTTTCATTTCACTTTTTTTTTACAAACAGATTCTTAGTAATATTTTCTAAAACGCTGCAATCTATGCGGTTTTCCATATAATGAATTGCTCAATTAATTTATTAATGCTTGTGAGAAAAATTCTCTTTTAGATACTTAATTTGGAGAAATGCTCAAAACTAATGCTCAAAATTAATTCACTAATTTATTTATAGCACTATATTAGTCAATTTGTGTATTATGCTGTCTCTTATAGTATTAATTATATCAATAAAATAATTGATCCGCTTCTGAAAATCCTTTTTGAACACTACTTGAATTAAACACTTGATTTTACTTTCGAACACTGCTAAATAAAATTCAATTATTTAGACTATTTTTTAATTCGAATAAATAAGAATTTATGAAACAGAGTTCTAGAGATTCACTATTAAATACATAGTTAAAACACATAAGCTAATTTTTTAAAAATTGAAATTTAATTTTGTGTTTTTACAGTCAAATTGGTTAGAACAAAAATTTTTACAATCCATAATTAGCTACTCCAAATTGAACAATTAATTGTCTATGGCTAATTACAACCAAGTAGAACTTAGAATATGCAAATATTATTAATTTAAATTTTGCACTTGAATTGTTTTTTGAAATCTCTCACATTTATGTCAACAGCGCCCATATCTAAATTCTAACTTAATTATAAAAAAAAAAAAGAAGAAATATGTAGATAGTGAAAAATAAAATTAAATTAAAAAACTATTTTATTAGCTTTTTACATTTTTGTTTTATTTACTCAAATTAAAAAATTCAATTTATAAATTTTACATAGAAAATTTACTATTCAAATAAGTGTGCATATGATTAAAACTTTTTAAACAAATTCATTTTTGGGCTAAAAATTTTGAAACTTTTTAACAATTTGTTTTTTTTTTTTCTATTCTCTTACTCTTCCTTTCTCACTCTCTTAAGAAGAAATTAAAATTTAAAATAATCCTACACTTAATATTTATCCATTTGCTTTACTAAATTTTACATATTATGTAAAACCATAAATTAATTTACTACCCAAAAGCAAAAAGTTTTTGCAAACAAAAAAAGAACCAAAAACAAAAACAATTAATTCCTTTTCATGTCGATTAAGTAGCACAATTACACAAACTTTAGAGATTTCTTTTTTTTTTTTTAATGTATTTACCAAAGAATTCAAAAATAAAATGCATACAAAATTTCGAATTTAATTTATGATTTGAAAAAGGGTGCCCTAATCTAATAGTAATTTGGAAAACTCCAAAATATATATTATGAAAAAAGAAGTTGTTCTTTGAATATTTATTGTGTATGCAAGACCTTTTTTGTTCAAATAATTTTTTTTAACTTACATAATTCTTGGGGGATATCCAGATCCTTATGAATATCACTATTGCGCACATACCAGGAAGAACCCGCCATATTACGAAGGACCCTTTCTGGAAAGTTTGTATTTGTTTGATGTGCGTTTGCTTGGCACAACCTCATAGCTGCAAGCTATACGTTACTATAGGCTTTATCATTTAATTGTACTTCAACACCTTATTGTATGTTGGCAATCCAGATCTACGACCCAGGAGCAAATAGTTTTCCCTATATTTGTTCCCTAATTTCATTTTTTTCTTCTTTACATATTCTTTCTACCTAAGCTTGATATCCAAAGTCATACCTGGGTATTTCGCTGGTTTTGAATTAATACTTTAGCACCATTAAAACTCAATTGTGGTGGGTTCACTAAATTTTTGTTTGTGAAATTTACATGTACAGATTTACTTTCATTTAGCTTTATTTTCCATGTATTTGTAGTTTGATTCGCAAAAGTCTGCCGGATAAATATGATTCAAGTAAACCCACGAATTGCGAAGGTATCAATTTTTTATCGAACACCTGGGCCACATCCAGAAATATTGGCGAACATATTTGTCTTTCTTCTAACGCCTTTTCCACAATATTTGTTATTCTGCGTACTGAATCAATTGTTGCATGCTTTATTTTAAAACCAAACTGATGGTTTGGAATCAATTTCTTATTTTCTATTATAGGAATCAGCCTTGTTAACAATTTTTCAAAAAGTTTTGATAACGTTGGCAGTAGAGAAATCGGTCTATATGACTTTGCCTTATTCAAAGGTTTTCCCAGTTTTCCTATCGTAATAACTTCCGCTACTTTCCAAGCACTAGGAACATACCTGCATAACGGCTGCACTTATAATTTTTTTTCAAAAAGGTCATAGCCTTTCTCGACAATTCTCTTAATACCTCAGAAGTAATGAGATCTGGGGCATTATTCGGTTTAAGAGACGTTATCGCTTGGCAAATGTTTCTTTCACTAAATAAAGCTTTCTTTTATGCTTTCATCCATATCAAAATCTTCCACAAAACAAACACTAAAATTCAGTTCATTTGGTTGAAAAATTCCTTCCAGGTGATGAGCAAATAGTTCAGCTTTATTCCTGTTGCTTTTTTCCATGACCCATCTGCTTTTTTTAGTGTCTAGCAATTCTTTTTTTTCTATTAAACCAGCTATGTCCTTCGGACTTAATTACTTGATACAGGTTTGAGTTGACAGAATCTTTTTTTTCTCAGGCGGCTTTCTGCATCAATTTGAAAAAACCCTTCACTTCAAAATCTAGTTAATCTCTAATCTGCAGTTGAGCATTAAGATTTATATGTCTAGCCTCATCATGAAGCCTACCCAATCCGTGGTTTTGTTGACTACAGTGGTTATGCACCGTTTGTTAATTATTTTCTCACTAGGCGTTAATATGAGAGCAGAGTGATCGAAATTCAAATCAAAATCCTCCTCCTCTAAAAATTTGCCCAAATCCTTTTAGATATAAAAAAGTCAATAAAATATGGGGGACAATATACTGAACCAATATTGAAGTACTGCTTGGTAGACTGATTTCTAGCCACAACAAGCTGAGCCTCTTCAGTCTCTATTTTGACTTCCTCATCATGCTTTATGGTTTTCTTAATTAAAATAGCACTACTTCCTACTAGGATGAGATGCCCTGCATTATCTCCTACTAGGATGAGATGCCCTGTAGCATCTATAACTCAGTACATCCAAGTCCTCCCCAAGTAGGTTTCTAACAACAGCCACACGTCGATATTTTTAGATTAAAGAAAAAACCTCTAATTCATGCTTTCTACTTAGAACGGCATTAGCGTTCCATGCACCATTTCTTATTTTATTTGCTGAAATCGTTTCCGGGGTTAACGTGTATCTATTTTCCATAGAGTCTCACTAAGCTTTCGTGAATTCTTTGTAGCACGTCTTGCATCATTTGAATTATGCTATAGTCAATTTCATTAGGTTTTTGCATTGTATTATTGTCATTATTATAAATTATAATACATATTTCTTTATTATTCACACTTTTCTTTGGTCTTTTATCTACTCAATTTCTGCCATTTTGGATGCCATTTGCGAGTATGTAACACCATTTTTTACCTTATTTGATGTGAAAGCATTAATCGTTCTTGAGGTTCCTTCATGATTACCCATAACCCGTTTAAGCCGATTCCTTTTCATTCATCTTTTTTGTAATTCCTTAGCTACTAAACAACCTCGGTAACTAGCAGGTATAGCCTCGGTAACAATTAACACATTTAGCCTCGCTTTAGCAAAATCTTTGTGTATGACCAAACCTCTGGCATTTCTTGCATTGCAGGACGAATCCATCATTTCTAAGAGGCTCAACTCTTACTATAATGTGCTGAAGATATTCTATTTTATATATTTTATTTATGTCTTCGATGTGATCAAGAACAACATAAAAAGGGACAACTTTTAATATTATTTACATCATTTCTTTTATTTTTTTAATTTTATTTATGACATCCACGCCTTTGTATCCCCTATGGATAACCTTTATCCTACCCTCTGGTTCACATGATGGATGTAAGTTTCTGACAGTTACTTTAATTGGCCTCATCAATTTATTTTCATAAGCATGCCAATCCAATTTGGCCCTATTAACAGCTTTAGTTAATTATCAATATTCATTTTTAACCTTTAGTTTTAGTTGATCGTTGTTCATCATATTTACGTTCACGTTAAACTTTCTTTGAGGTTTGGTTAATTCCTCTATTCTTCATCTGTTTCGCACACTATTTTGTCTTTCTCGGTGCCATTTGAAACTACATTCTGCTGTCCCAGTAACCTCAAATTTTCTGCCTTAAGTTTGCAAATCTCTTCTTTCAGTTCCTTACACAGGTTCTCCAGGTCGACCATTGGTCCCTGATATAACGGGCCTTTTACATTACTTTCAGAGATCTTACTTCCGTTGTCTTCTTGAGACACTAAGAAATGACAAAGAATTTCATCTTAAAAAATTATAGTACATATTTTGTAAAGAAAAATTTATACATACCTTATGATTGGTTTGATCACTCTTAAGAAGACGGAGAAGAACCTGTAACATAAAAATGTATTTCAGTATAATTATACAACACATATATAGTAAATAAGTAAATATAGCAAAATTACATGCTTTTATGAAAAAATATATGTAACCTAATAACGTAAATTTAGGGAATAAATTTGGCAAAGCATGTTTAAGAGAGCAAAAAAAATACATAGAGAGAAGAGCATAACATTTCTAATGTATGTTCACTTTATTTGTTTTTTCCTTCCAATTAAAAGAATTTTTATTTGCGGGTGGTTGTTAAAAATCACTGTGTTTTTTTAAAACGGAGAACAACGAATGGTTCTTTCTCTTCTTGCACATATGGTGGTTATAATTAAAATTAAAAGTAAAAACAAGAAAAAAAATTATTAATTTTTTTTTCGTCATTCTGCTTCATTTTTGTTTCTATCTTTTTTGTATAACAGTATCATTGGTAGAGTTTTAATTGAAAATAAAAAAAAATGTTATACCAACACATTTTGAATCACAGCGGGAATAAAAAAGAAAACCTACATAAATTTTTTTTTAAGTTTAAGAATATTAAGAGGATATCAAAGTGATTCAAAATTGCTGAAAATAACAATTTTACTAGATTTGCTTTTATTTTTGATTATTTAGACATCCTACGTTGAAAGTTCTAAAACATGGTTGTCAAATAAAAATAAAATGTCGCCAAAATAAGTCATCAACGGCAACTCTCTAGCATCAGCCTTCAACAATAAACGTACAGATGTGTATTCATGGCTGTCGTTTACATAAAACTCGATTCTGAATAAGAAATTTAATATTAGAAATGATATAAGAGTAAACCTTTTCTATTTACTTGTAATATTTATTCGTAAGAAACATACCTTAGAGTTAACGGAACACGTTTTAATGTTTACACCACAAAAGAATGCTCTTTTCCTTTAATGTTTTTAATTTTTCTTTTAATTAAAACTTTTGTGTAGGTTGGTTAAAAATATTTCGTGCTTCATCATTTTTCTACTTCATTTCGTTCTTTTTTTTCTAAATCAAGAGCCTGTATTTATGACTAAAACATTTGTTTCTTTTTTTCTTCTAATTTTTTGTAATTTGATTTAATAATTTTTATAATTTTCTTTATTATTTGTGTCTAATTAACCGATTTCATATACCATTCCAAACGTTTTTTTACTCTCCGAAAAAAACAAGCATATATTCCCCAGCGTGGTAAAATCAAACAATCGAATTTTTATTTAAAAAATAATGCGAAATTTCCTCTTTAATTTAGAAAAATTTCTTATTTATATAGAACTCAAAGTCTTTTATGGAAGCTGAAACTACATAACTTTATTTTATGGACTCGTTGAGGTAATATTACAGAATAAAATTAGAGAATATTTCACGAATAACCCAACATCTAAATTCATGAGAATCAACTTCACAATCAGAAAAATCATATATAGAAGAAAAATCAAGGGCAAGAAAATATCCGACAAATTATGGAAAACCTGCAAATCATCCTAAATATTTAAAAGTACCAAAGAAACAACGAAAATAGGCTACGAAATAAGTTTTGATTCCTGCATAAGTAGTTCGCGTGTCACAAATAAATGATTGAACTAAAAATTAAGAAAAGAAATTAGAACTACATTAAACCACACTTAATCCTAAATATCTTCATATAAGATTAAAATGTAAATTGAATCAAATGCAAAATCATAATAGAACTAAAAAGCAACCTCTCAGGATTCAAAATGCAATTAAATGCAGTAAATATTTTAATAGTGTTACCAATTGTATGGTCAGTCATAATAAAATATTTAAAAATCTATTAAATTTCTTGTAATGTAGACATTTCTCTTTAAATTTCAATAAGCATGGGAATAAATTTTACATATTCCATAAATGAACTGTTCAAGTGGATAACATTTTTTAAATTTATTTAGCATCCTTGAAATATTTGATATCCTTGATGTCATATATTATGATATCAATAACTTTTCAAAATAAAATGAAATGAAAACACAAATAAGATTTCTGCTCCTTAATATTTGTTTTTTGAATCAAATTAAACTAACTGATTGCTGAAAAAAATAAAATAATTTTTTTTTGTTTGTGAATCCGATTAAACAGTTAAAGGATTTAAATTAATTTTTTTTATTCCTGATATTCTTTTTATTTTTCCATTGATAACTTACAACGGAGGTCTGTAGTATCAAAAAGTTAGAATTCTATTATGATTTTTCCATTCTCTTCCAGTATATTCTTTGAAGTCAAAATAATTTTATAAAATTACGTTTCATTGCTTGTTTTATGACAAGCTTTTCCTATACTAACAAAGTATCATTTTAAAGCAATTTTGAAAAATAAGTTTTAAAAAACAGTACATTTGAGGTGAAGCCTTTCTGATCAAAAGGTTTAGGATTAAAATCCTGATCGAGTCATTATAAAATACACTCGACATCTGCAATTATTCAAAAATATATGCTAAGAAAAACAATAGAAAACTGATTGCAAATTGTAAATTTGTACAACTGGGGTATAGGTGTACGGCGACTCCGTGTAAGGATTTATTGTGAGCTTCCCTGAGTGCCTGACATACTCTTACAGTACCCATTTAAGATTCACCCTTCTGATGAGCTCAAGGACCCGAAATTCGAAAGATTCACAGTATTTCGCTTCTTCTACGAGCGGAGGTGTGATGAGGTTTCACCATCTTCACAAAATTTGCAAGACTTGTCCAGCAATCTGACCGTCTCCCTCCTAATTCTCGTCTTAGTTCCCAACGAACAGTGTGTAGTCCAAATCCGCGAAACCTGAAACCATGTTATTAAGGATACGAGGCTACTAAAAAAAAAATTCGTTCTGAAAACGTTTTAATCTAGCTTCAACAAACATTAAACAACCTCTGTCGACTTACTAGAATGAATTCTTTAAACTTAGATCACATTCTATTTTTTTTTTTTTTTTAATGACTATAAAATGACAAACTAACTTGAAAAACTATAAATACACCATTTTGTAACTTTAGATACCTTTGCTTTTCCGCATTTTTACTCGTAATACTCGTAAAAATACAAAAGACATTGAGCTTGAAAACTTATTCCTTTTGAATTTTCCTAATTTTTTTTTTTATTTTTTTTGGAAAAAAAAAACAACATAAATTCAAAGGATATAAACTGAAAAATACTTTAACATTTCATTTTTATTACTTTTAGCTTTTCTTTTCAAGTTTTCCAGTTTATTGACTTTTTATATTTTTGTTTTTTTTTTCTATAATTCATCTTTTTCTCCCCGTTTTCTCCTACTCTGGCATAGGGCAAGATATAAGAAAACTTTAAGAATTTTCTTCTTTGAATTTTTTAGATGTTGTTGATGTCGTAGAATGTCGTTTGTTATTGCGAATTTTGGTTACATTTCCTTTTTAATTTTTTTATTTTCTATTTTTCTTTTCATTATTGTTGTCATGTTTTTTAATTTTACCTTTAATAAAAAATAAAAAATTTTTTGTTGACATTTCTTCTTTCAACTTTCATATAGCATCAAAATTGAATCGAATTATAAAGAAAACAAAAAAATTAAGAATTATGAGGAAAAAAATTATGTTTCTGATATAAAAGAAATCATTCAGGAGAAAAATAATAATTTGTACATGTGTACGCTAAGTAGTTGATGAATATGCATGTATCTATTTTTGTTTGAATACAAATTAGTGTATGAACATGTGTATATATTGTTGACCAAATATTGTTTTCAAAGTAATAAATTGTACTTCAAGATCAAAAGTAAAGATAACATTACTAAAGGTAATCAGTCAAGAAGACAAGGGAATGTATATTTTTCTTTTTATGTTTTATGATGTCTTTAAAAGAGAAAATGAAATTTATTGATGGCATTGTGATACTGTCGATTCCCATTACTTCTGCATTTCTCAACTTTCATTTTTGATTCGAGAATTTGTTTTAATTCAGAGCATATTCAATAAAGAGATGTGAACTCAGTTTCAAAAATTTTACGATTACGACTTCGACTTCAGTTTTTATATTTCATATTCAATCTTCGATTCCGACTTTTTGACTCCGGCTTCTTGATTTCAGCAGCGACCGTTTGATTATAACTCCCCAACTCCGAATACTTCACTGTAAATTCTTGATTCTGAATACTTGATACAAAATTCTTGATTCCGAATTCTGAACTTCAAATCCTCGAACACAATTTCTCAATTAAAACTTTTTGGCTATGAACTGTCGACACTAATTCCTCGACCTTGACTCTTTGCGACCTATGCACCGATTCCGCGATTTAAACCACTAAACTAGAATTCCTCAATGCAATTAAGAAATAATTTCAAAACACTCTGTCTTCTAAAATATGCGTACGTTCAAACTTATTACAGAGTTTTTCATAAAACAAAGCTATACGCAATAATAAAATTTCACTTATCGTCATCGATGGAACAAGAGCAAAAGATATTTTTTCCGGTGATTTTTCCTACTGCTTTTTTTTCGTAAAACATATTTCATGTTTTTAATTTAATTGGAAGAACAAAAATCTGCAAATTATAGTCATTAGTTTTATACCTTTTTTTTTATTACTAATCAAAAGTACAAATCTTTTAGAATGAAAAATTTTCTGTTTTATTAAATCCATAAAAGTATCTTTAAAATATTCGATTTGTTCCTGTTTTGCATGTATTTTGTGTTTCTTTTGATAAACATAAAATGATAAAAAATTCAAATAAGAAAGATCATATTTTTAATTTTACTTTAATAAAAAATATGAAATATTTGATAAGAATTCATTAATTAAACAGCCTCCTCTTTGATGTTAAAATAATTACATTAAAAAATGAATATCTACAAAATCAACTTGTTATTACATGAAATATATGTGAAAAATTTTGACTTCATGTGTCCCATAAGGCGAAGTCTAATAATTTTGAAAATTTTGAAAATTTTGTAAAAAGAAAAATTTACGTCTTCTAAAAGTGTTTAAGGGAAGAAAGCCAGAAAACTATTTTAGCTAAGCTAAAATAGTTTTCT